CGGCTGAAGCTAGTGCTGCAGTGCCCGTAGTTGGTGGCTCAGGTCACAGGAGATGAAGGAGGTGTGATTCCCGGACAGCCGAGCAAGAGAACCAGATGCTGGGGGGTGGCCCTGGACCCCAGCTGGCTGCTCAAAGCAATCCTGGTCGGCCTGAACAGGGCCAGGGCGCCAGGCCTGCTGTCCAAAGTGGGAAGTCCATCTGCCCTGGGTCAAGGCAGAGACTTCGGGCAGCCATCTGGGTCAGGAAACAGAACCCACCCCCAGATGGTTCAAATGAAGAGAGATTTATGGAGGAGTAAGTGGGACTCGGGGACTTGCCAGAGATGGCAAAGCCCCCGGGGACCTGTGCCAGCGGGAGCTGTTGCCACCTTAGGTGAAAGAAATGCTCGAGAGAAAGGTGAGAGCTGGAGCTGCCAAGGGGGGAACACGGGCAGGAGCTGCAGTCCTGGAGGGAGGGAGGGAGCGGGCGAAGAAACGCCCCCACCCGCTCCTCCCGCCCTCCAGTCCGCCTTGCTGACCCTGAATAGAAACCAGCGGGCCAAGGAGCCCGTGGGGTCAGCTCCCAAAGCACAAAGAACGGGATGGGAAGAGAAGCAGAAATAACCAGCCCTGGCCCATCGGATGAGAACCGGAAGTGTCCCCAAGGATCTGGGGGGTTGCCTCTTGTGTGGCATTCTCTTTGCCAAGCCCCCTCAGAGACTTCTGCGGCGACGCACCTGAGACATGTGGTGGTTCATCGTGTCCTGGTGGCAGAGGTGCCTGTTTCCATCCCACAAGGTCCCAGAGTCACATGTGTTGGGAGCAGGGTCTCCTCCTCTCCGTGTCTCAGACCCGAGAGTGTCGGGGTGTCCCGTGCGTACAGACAGTCGAAGGTGAGACATGCTCGTTTCCTTGCCGTCTTCCTAGTGCGAATGCAGCGTCTGAATGAACCGTGGCAAGATATCCAAACCAGCCCTCCGTCTGCAGCCAGGACCAACCAAAACGTCCCTGCCCGTCTGGAGACATGTCTTCGAGACCCACAGTCAAGGAGACACAAGTTTACGCTACAAACATTTACTGAGCACACTGTCCTGAGCACTGCTCTGAGAATAGCAAGGATAGAGGCCTTCCCTTCGAGGTTCGCGGATGAGCCAGGAGACTGGCACACAAGCAGGTGTGCAGGGCACAGGGAGGGCACCTGGCTGCAGCTGGGGCGAGGAGAGCAGGGCCTGACCAGCAAGTCGGCCGTGATGAAGGGAGCCCTTCCAAGGCCAGGGCGGAAATACGGAGGCCCGGGGACAGAATGTACAGAAGCTGAAAAAGAAAGTAGGAACAAAGTCGGCCTGCCTGCAGACGTTGGCCAGCACCTGCCTTCGGTAAAATGGGAGGAGAATGTCTGTGTCACGAATAGGTTGAGGTTATGTAGAAGCCAGGACATTTATAACCCATAAGAAGAAGGCCCTGGAATGCAAGGGAGGAAAACAAGGCGCAGACACAGGATTTGGAGAGACGCAAGGGGCCAGGAACGTCTGAGTGTCCACTCGCCCTGCCGGGGCGCCCAGCTCTGCCCGGGTGCTGGGCATCTGGAGACAAACGGGGTTCCGGGGCTGTTTGGGTTGGTGCGCCGAGCCTGGAGCCGAGGTTGAGAACACTCTCTCTGGGGAGAAGGTGGCGTGGCTCTCAGGGGAGTCCGTGTAGCACGGAGAGCGGGGAGGGAGCTGCTGATGGACCCCTTGTGCCTGGAACCTTCCGTGCACTGCAGCACCGTGTCTCCACCTGCACAGGCCCAAAGTCCCTGGAGGCCCTGGGCTGTGCCTTCTCACACCCCACCCCCACCCCACCCCACCGCTGTGGGTGCCTCAAGTATAACAAACTCTCATTAGGCTCTTAACGAAATGCAATTACTCCAAATTACCCAAGGCCATTTCAGCCCGGAATCACTGTCCGCGTTGCCGAAGACAGTTTGAGGCCACCACGTTCCCACCACCAAGGCAGTGGGCGCCCCGGAACACAGCCTGATTTCACGTTAGCCCGAGGGGACTGGAACTAGGCGAGGTGATTCTGCTATTTCTGGAGAACCACACGTTGTGCTCAAACTTCAAATAACCTACAACAGTTCCTGCTCTTCGAGGTGATAATGGGAACTCAAGGGCATACGTCGCAGTAACCACAGCCAGCACTCGGTGAGACTTGGGATGTGCCAGGCGGTGTTGCGGGTGTTAGTTAATTTATTGAATTCTCCCATCTGTTCTTTGCCGCTGCCTGTGTTTTACGAAACCAAGGCTCGGAGAGGTTAAGCAGCTTGCCCAGAATCACACAGCTCGTAATGGCGGAGCAAAGATTTGAACCAAAGTGACTCAGGTTCAGAGCTTCCAGTCTTAACTGCTGAGCCACCTCACCTCTTAGATTGAAAAAACCTTTTTTTTTTATTTGAAGGGACGATATCGGAGGGAGGTCGAGGGAATTCTCAGCCGTTCCTGGAGTGAATGGAAACGTCTGTAGGCTCTGTGTGACCAAGGAGGCAGAGAGCCGATGGCTGCAGTCAGAGAGGCTGCATGTGGGGTGTCTCGGTGGGCCTGTCTCCCAGGCTCTGTTATTTCATTCTTCCTCTGAGTTCTGGCGTAGCTGCCACCAGATGCAGCCTCTTGGCCGCCCCCACCCGACCGTGTCCCCCCGGGACCACAGCTCCTCGGGGACCCGGGCGCCGGGATGGAATACCCACCACACCAGACTCCCGACCAGTTTCTCTCCCCCATCTTAAAACCCCAGCTCCCCCGATCAGGCTGTTTCTCTGCCTCGCCAGCTGAGAACGCGTGTGTTTTAAAGATTTGAATGGGCCATTTCGGCTCGGAGTCCAGATGCATTTTTATATCCGCATGGAAAAAAAATGCAGAAGCTCTGCTGGCAGTCAGAAAGAGTTTTTTTAAATGAAAGTTAAAAAAAAAAGAGGGAGGAAAGAAAAAGTTTCCTGCACCTGGCCCTTTGGAAAAGCACAGAAAACAAAGCATTCGTTTAATCTGGCTACATGTCTGGTTTTAAAAAGATGCGTGTCCCACCCACCTCCCACCCGTGCTTTTCACATCCGGTCGTTACTGGATAGCTACTACGTGCCACCATCAGGGCCTGTATATAAGTCCCACAATTAGCCCCATTTTGTGGACGAGGAAACCGAGGCTCAGCGTAGGGCAGCCGGCCCACCCAAGGCCACTGTGTTATTTTCCTAGGTTGCTGTAACCAAGTACCACAGACTGAGGGGCTTAAAACAACAGAAGCGCATTATCTCACAGCTGCGGAGGCGGGAAGTCCAAAACAAAGATGTCACCAGTATCGGTTCCTTCCGAGGGAGAACCGTGCCTCTCTCCCAGCTTCTGGTCCCGGCCGGCATTCCGTGGCTTATAGACATGTCACTCCAGGCTGCCTCCCTCATTCACGTGGCTTTCCTGTGGCCATCTCTTATGAGGACACCAGTCTCACTGGGTTAGGGGCCCACCCTGCTCCAGTGTGTCCTCGTCTTAATTTAACTGTATCCGCAAAGACCCCATTTGCAAATAAGCTCACGTCTTGGGGAACACAGTCCAACCCCTGACCATCCTGCTGTAGTTGACGGCCCACGTTGGGTCGGTCCCAGTCCAGAACCCTCCTGGTTATAAGCTGCCTCCTCGAAGCGTCAAAGAAGTGAGCGGACAAAGCCCATGATGCAGTCTGCAACTTAGAGGCAGAGAAAAGAAGCCCTTTAGCCACTGCTGCTGTCCAGTGCTGATGGGCGCCTGGAGCTCGCCTCCTTCAAGCCCAGCACTCGCCTGAGGCCTCGCTACTGAGAGGGAAAAACTGCCAATGTGATGTGTCCGCAGTAACAACGAGCACTGGCATCGATCGAGTGCCAGCTGTGTACCCACACTATTCTAGGCACTTCCCCAGAACCCTGACATTAACAACCCATTTTATAGACGACGAGACTGAGCCTGGGGACAGTCGTTGAACTTGCCCGAGGTCTCAAAGCCGGGAAGTGCAGAGTCCAGGCTCTCGGCCACAACGTGCCATGGCCTCTGGATCATGGGAGTGTTTCAGGAAGAGCCCCTGCCCAGTGCCATTGAGCTCGAGCCTAGTAGTGTTTAATGGATCTCACTGGCGCCGTGTGACCACTGCCGTGAAACGCACAGGACAGGCGAATCCGGAGAAGCAAAGGAGACAAGTGCACTCTGGGCGTTGGGGGCAGTGGGCAGTGACTGCTGACGGGTTTCTTTTAGGGGTGATGACGAGAGTTTGCAAATTGACCGTGGCAATGGTTGTGCCGGTCTGTGAACTACGCTAAAGACCATGGAACGGCACCTGCGAAGGGCTGACTCACGTGGCATGCGGGTTATATCTCAATAAAGCTGTTGCCAAACAAAAACCGAAATGGGGGAAGCGGGCGGGGCATGGAGGTCGGGAAGAGCAAGACGGAGCCGAGTACAGAGCGGGGGGCGGGCCCCGGGCCACTGGGGCAGAAGCCTGCAGCCGGCGAGGCAGGGGCCAGTGAGGAGGCTAAGGGCGGCTCAGCCTAGGGCAGCAGAGATGGCATGGAATCGCCAGGGCCAGCGAAGGACAGAGCCACCACGTGGAAATGAGGCGCCTGCCTGATTGTCATCGAGTGGCCAGACAGGCCTCGGCTTCCTCGCGCAGCACTGCCCGACAGCCAGGCAGGAGGCGAGCCGGCCAGTGGGGTCGCTCTGCCCAGACGGGGTATGACGTGGGGAAGAAAACGCCGCCTGGCCCCAGCGACAGGCCCAGACAGCGGCTCTGTTGGCGGATATGTCAACTGCATCGTCACTCGCAGCTCCCTCCCTGGGAACGTAACCCACTAATTGAAAAAAGAAGTGCCCAACAGCTCACACTCCCTTGCTGGGGAACAGGTGTCACAAGGGCCAGAAGCCGGCCTTGGAGTGTGTGGTCCCAGCAGGCCTCAGGAGGGCAGGACGGAGGGTCTGAGGGTAGGTCTTGGCTAATGCACTGTGTCTTGTCTCTTGTCCCTGCTCCCACAGAGAGCCTTCAATGCCCTGTGTCACAGCACCCACTTGTACGGCCGGAGGCTGGTCCTGGAGTGGGCCGACTCTGAGGTGAGCCTGCAGGCCCTGCGGCGAAAGACAGCCGAGCACTTCCACGGTAAGACCGGCGGGGCCGCCCCGAGCAGGGAGGCCAGGCTGTGTGGACGGCCTCGGTGAGCTCTGCGCCCTTTCGGCTTCTGGCGGGGCCGGGTCATTGGGAGGCCTGGCAGGAAGTAGGGGGAAGGTGGAGAGTGGGTCCTGGGGTTCATTCCCCGCCGCCTGCCTTCCTGCCGAGTTGCTGCAAGCTGGCTGACAGACGCTGCCACCAGTTGGCTCGTGTCCGACGGCCCTCTCCACCCAGTGCTCTCTGTCCGGCTTCCGCTGGCCAGCCTAGGGGGCCACTGGCACCACTTTGCCTACACTCTGTCCCCCCTTTACTATCCTCAGCTACCTGATTTAAGGACCGTCCACTTCCTGCCAGGGCCCTGATGGTCACAGGACCTCACTCCACCTTCTGCACACCTTGGTGGTGTCACGTGGTCTTGCCGATTAGTTCATCCCCAGAGGGTACTTAGCACCTGCTCCATCCTCGGGCCTGGGGTGCAGCAGTGAGCTGTGGGGGGCCGTGGGCCTGGGTGGAAGAGGCTGGGCACATTGTTTGAGCACGTAGTCCAGAGAGGCCTCCCTGCAGAGGTGACATTTGTGCTCATGAAAGCGCTGCCTGAGCAGAGGGACCCCAAGGCTTGGTGGGGGCGTGGCCCATTGAGAAGGGGTAGGGGAGGTGGATGAAGTCAGAGAGGGCTGTGGCCCTTCGTGAAGGGCCTCGAAGGTCCCACATGCAGCGTACCCCTCGGTGTTTCAAGATCTGCGCTTGTTACTGCTCCGCTCATGTGTCCCTATCCCCATCGGGCAGCTGGGGACCAACGATGTCACCTGGGGCCAGTCCTGCCTGCCCTTCCCCCGCTCGTCTGTTTAGAGGTGGTGCCTAGAACCTGGATGCGATGGTTTCCCGTCCCAGCCAGTGACACTCGGCTTCCCAAATCAGGCAACAACTCAGAGGCACGTTGAGGGGAGGTCGCCCTTACGGAGCTGCGAGTTTTCCAGTTGGGTCTGGCCGGTCTTGCACAGGACAGGAAGCAGGCCTTGTAAGCGGTGTCTTAGCGACGCAAGACTGCGTCAGGTGTGCTTAGAACAGCAGAGACAGGCTGGAAGCCGTCTGACTGTAGCTCAGCCTGCCAGACCCTTCAGAATACCCCTCCTCCCAGCCCGGCGGCCTTCCCGGCCTCATCCCTCCCGCGACGCCTCCCACAGAGTTCACTGCTCCCCAGACGGCAGGCAGGACCCTGTGCCTTTGCACGTGCTGCTCCCTCTACTCAGCATGCCTTGCCTCCCAGTTTTTCTTTTTAACCTGGCGAGTGCTCTCCAATCTTTAACACCCAGCTCAAGTGACACCTCCAAGAAGCCTTCCTTTCCCCCGCCTTCTCGGGGATCAGTAATGGCTCCATCCTCTTCCCTTACCTCTCTTCCCGTACTTCCTTGCCATGTCGTAATCTGTTTCTCCGTGGTTCTTATCTTCCCTGGACCCGTACGTGCCTCAGAGTGCGGACTGCTTTGTGTTCATCTGCCACTGATCAGCGCGTCTCTGGGCTCCCAGGCCCAGCACGGTGTTGGGCACAGGCTGAGCTGTCAGTCTAAGGCTGGGGAACATAGGAGCAAACGCGAACGAGAAACCAGAAAAATCAGGGCTAAGTACACAGTCGCTGGCTCACAACTCAATAAGTCTCCAAATCCTGCCATGCAGAAAGAGAGCCTGTCCTTATCGACAGCCATTGACAGGCCCAAATGCACCCGTCGGCAAATGTT